CGAAGCATCTCCGAGTCCTCGCCGGCGCCTTGGAGGGCGAAGTTTTTATTGGCCAGAAAGCTGCTACCGAGTACAGGGGGCTATTAAAGATTCGCTACCCCTTAGAGCATGGCATTGTCACTGACTGGGATGACATGGAAAAAATATGGGAGTACGTCTACAATGAAGGTTTGAAAACTATGAGCGAAGAAGTGAGATGGCCTTTGTGTTCTTCCACTCGAGTGTCGCCGTGGCTGCTAACACTTGCTATAGCATCCTGTGCTCTTAACCGAACCCCCTCTGAATCCTCGAGCAAATCGCGACACGGCCGCCCAGATCTTGTTTGAAACCTTTAATGTCCCCGCCCTCTATACCTCGATCCAAGCAGTTCTTTCTTTATACGCAAGCGGTCGCACGACGGGCTGTGTCATGGATTCTGGTGATGGAGTCTCTCACGCCGTGCCCGTATACGAAGGGTTCGCGATCCCCAGCTCAATACAGCGTATCGATATTGCCGGTCGCGATGTTACCGAGTACCTACAGACATTACTCCGCAGAGGCGGCTACATTTTCCACACCAGCGCAGAGAAAGAAGTGGTACGGCTGATCAAGGAGTCTGTCTCATACGTCGCACTCAATCCAAAGCAAGAAGAGAAAGACTGGTCCAGTGCCAAGCTAGAGCAAGGGAAAATGGCCGAATACATCCTCCCAGACGGCAACCGCTTGCGTGTGGGCCAGGAGCGTTTCCGCGCCCCCGAGATCCTCTTCGACCCCGAGATTGTTGGCCTCGAGTACCCTGGTATCCACCAGATAGTGACAGACGCCATTAACCGCACGGATCTCGACCTTCGCAAGGCGCTATATGCCAATATTGTACTTTCGGGTGGAAGCACGCTTACCAAGGGCTTTGGCGACCGGCTCCTGAGTGAAGTCAAGAAGCTCGCTGTCAAAGACATGCGCATCAAGATCTTTGCTCCGCCGGAGCGCAAATACTCAACCTGGATTGGTGGCAGTATCCTCGCTGGATTGAGCACCTTCAGAAAGGTAAGCATAAATGGCCACAGAATCGGCCCACTTAAAAGAAGATATACTGATTGTCTATATAACAGATGTGGGTCAGCATGGATGATTGGCACGAGGATCCCGACATCATTCATAAGAAGCTCACGTAGCCCAACCACCTTCGATACGCTACAAATCCAAAGGCCAATTTACAGATTCTCGCAGGCCTCTCGGAGTTACATGAGTGAAAAGGACTGGATTCAAACTTCATCAAGCAACACAGTTCCACGCTACCTTTTTTGTGTTCTAAATGTACGTGGTGTGGTGAGGAGGGCGGCCTAGGTTATGTGTGAATGTTACTCTTCAGAAGGCTAGTCTCCGGGTAAAAAATGCCCGGCTATGTTTAGACGTAAGGGGCTAGTATAGACTTCCTACGCCCATGTATAACGCATGGGAATCTTCTATTCAGTGAAGAACAGAAAGGACGGGGCGGGGCGGAGGCTGAACCCGGGGTGGGTGTCGTGTGAAGGCATAGTTACGCGAGACGAAGGATGAAGACGAAGAAAACTAATCATCTTAGATAAAGTGAATGATACCCATTTGTTGAGCAGCAGTCGTAAGTAGCATTCATACCCCAAACAGAAACAAGATCGCCTGATGATGAGTTGCTTCAAGAGCATAGAGATGACGCAAGTGAAACGAGGAAGATGATTGATATGATCAACTGCCAAGAGAAAAGATGCCAATATTGTACAAAAGCTCGTTGTGGTCCCACCCTTTCGTGCTCAATTGCCCTTCCCTTTCCATGAATACGCCATGGCGTCCGCCGGTTGATCGTTCTGACCATGAGGAGCTGTGACAGATATGTGTGTGGGTATGTAACGTCGGGGTATGATGATAAAAAGCAAGACCGGTTTCCCATTCCGCATGCCGTTATTTTGGGTGTTCCCCGAGAAAGCCTAAATCGAAAATATGCTGTCCCTTGCGTTTCCTCGTGACCGTCTTTAGATTCCGGAAGACCATTTCTTTTTTTTCCCCGTCGTTATGCTTCGTTTTTCTCATATGATCCGAAGCGCCGTTTTGTGGTATAAATTTTGACTTTCCCTAACACCCGTTGCGCCGTGCTGATGTTGTCGAAAGTTGGTAATAAAAAACAAAACAAGAACTCCCGATTCCCGTGTCCCTCACATCCCCAATTCAAAGGAAAAAAAAAATAGGAGAGAACGCCAACCGCTTCTTGTTAGCGGTGACGGCTGAAGGCGGAACTCACGCGTCCCAGGAGCGAACCAGAGGAACTGCTGGAGTTGGCGCTCGCGCCATCGCTTCCCTTGCGGGCGCGGCTTGGGGTGGCGGCGTCGTAGATGTTGCCGGCACCGCCGCGGCCGACGTAGCCGATACGGCTCTGCTCAGCCTGGTTCAACAGCTTGAACTCCTCATCGAAGGACATGACGGGCCGGTTCTTAGAAACGTGCGCGTTACCGGCGCCGCCGCGGCCCGAGTAGAAATTGGAGGTCGACGGCGGAAGGGAAACGGACTCCGTGGGCACACCGCTCGAGGGCGTGGTTACGGGCGCGCGGAAGTAGTTCCCTGCGCCGCCGCGTCCGGCGTGAGTGTAGGTGTTCTGCCTCACTGTGGGGTGCGGCTCGGTGATGGTGAAGGAAGGCATGCCTGCTTTTTTTTTTTTTTTTTCGATGGCAGTGCTACTGGATGAATGTATGGTTTTTGATGCCTGTTGACGAGAGGTATCACGCGTTTCTGGGTCGACTTGTTTGAGTGATTGAGACTCTCTCTTGTTGTGCTGGAGTGCTTGCTTCTCTTCAACTTGGTTTTACTTTCGTGATACCGAGACTTATATACCACATTCCTCAACACAGAAGGAGGGGCTTGGCTATTAATATATGCGTGTTCCATCGTCAACACCGTGAGTATACCTATGAAAAATAGGAGAGGGGGGGGGCTGCATTTCTCTTTGTCAAGTTTACGTGCTCGTGACTGGGGGTGCTCTAGTGTACCTAGGTAGGTAGTGTAATTATTCGGAAGGCGCCCCCCCAAGGCCGAGCCGCTTGAGAAGGCTCATCTCGGTGCGTCACAGGACGTGGCGTGACACCGGGTATCCCGTGTTTCCTTACTGTACACTACCTAGTCTAGGTAGGTACTCCCCAGCCTACCTAAGGTACCTATTAACCTGCCTACCGCCTATCTACGACAAGGTGAGCCGGCGTCACGTTTGGGAAGGGATTTTTCTACGACAGACTTCCGAGAACATTCTTGAGCGATGACGGCTACTGATCTGGATCCATCATATGTACTTTTAAGTCAGCTGAGAAAGCAAAGAAAGGAAAAGATTTTTCTTCTTTACGCAGTACAGGTACAATGCCTCTGCCTGGACATAGGTGCAGAGGTAAGTTAGTGCACATCGTGGATTCTAACACAAGGGAAACCCGCTTAGCGGATCACGGCAACGCAAGGAAAGTGGAATCCGGGGTAAGGTCCGCGTGATTTGGCTGAATTTTCTTTCGATGGAATAATTATTACCCCATAGTTTTTGCCCCCCCTGGCTTTCACCGTTGGTTTCTTTCGGCCCGCGAGGAAGCAGCGATTCAATGATTCAGTGAGTCAATCCCATTGATGAGTTGTTCTTTTTAGGTTTCCGCGCTCGCAGCTGGCCGAGTGAGCACGCAATTCCCAATTTCAATGAGCATGCCGATGTCGCCCTCGCGCATCTCATTAGTTACGATGTCACCTGACAAGCTCATGGTGAGCATGTTGTCGCTGGTACGGATCACGGAATCCATTGGTTCATCACACACAGAATTTTATGAAGACTCATACCTACAGGTATTGGCCCGTACTACGTACCTGACAACAGAGACACTGGCATCGTAATGTAATAGGTACCTATCTATCTACAGTCCGTACCTATCAGGGCGGTCTGTCGCTCTGTCGCGCTGTCGCGCGTTTGACTCCCTCGCCATAAATGATCGCCGTGACGCCTTCGTTTCAGGTATTCAATTTGTATGTAGTTACAGACTGTATTTCCAAATTCCCGGCCACGTTACTTACCCAGTCGTGCTACGCCCGCCCGATGCATTTCCTCGGAGCTCGCCACCTCCTTATACTAACCTAACCTAACTAATTAACTAACCAACACCACCAGGATAGATTCGATATTGTTCTGCACATACAGATCGTACAGTCTGTATCTCTTGGGTAGTCAATCCTACCCAACGCCTACGAACCTGCTTTTGCTAATAATAAGGGTGTAAACACGACAGAGAGGAGTAGGTATCCAATTGATGCAGGCCGCCGTTTTGGTATGGCCTCGGAGTTTTTTTTTTTCGTCCGTACGCTACGCTAGATGGCGGTTACTCGCTTGCTTCATGTAAGTAACCGCGCAGTCAACAGACAACTCAGCCAACATCTTCACGGGAAACTCGTCGCCCTCAATCTATTCACGTCAGCTGAGTTCACTCGTACGTCGGGCGGGTTATGCACGTCCTTGATTACCATAGACCGGAGCCTACCGGCTACGTATGATCATGGCATGGCTTCTGGCAGGTGGCTCAAATGCCGACTACCGGTATGTCGAGGGCCTCTTCGCGTTCGGATAAAACTACAGTACCTAGTCGTATATTACACACCTACCTACAGTCCCTACCTACCGTGTATGTGTTATAACACATGCACCCATAGTAAAGCTCAATTGTTGCGATTGCGCCGACACAGCCGGGAGAGGCTGCCTCTGATGGAGGTGTCGCGTTGCGTCACCGCGCCACCAGAGAAACACCTCCCACGCCGGGCGTCTCACGCGAACTGCTTTTTCTAGCCATTGGGATCCAGATGTTCGCCCTTGAAGCCGACATACCCGTCCTGATAGAACGCATCTACATATCTCGAGATCACGATGAATTGGTCAACGCTAAATTCGGCATGATTACCGGCCGGAGGTGCAGTAACCGAGAGAGAGCGGGCCTCGTCGATTTCCTATGTCAAACTACTGACGCACTCCTACATCGTCGGGTCCCATAGCTCAGTTGGTTAGAGCGTCGTACTAATATTACGATTTCAAGTTGTAATGTCAGTAAATGCGAAGGCCGTGAGTTCAAGCCTCACTGGGACCAGCTTTCTTTTTCCTATGATCTTCGTCTCTTTGGATTCTTTCTTCACTTCTTCGCGATTTTGAGACTTCTTTTATTCAGCTAGTGTCACGTCCCACGCTGTCTGCTAGGCTTGCGACGAGTCGCGAGTCGTCAATAGCGAGCTCGCCCTACTTAGGTCGTCATCAGCAGTCTCATTTTTGACTTTTTTTTCAGCTCGGGATTCACCAGAGTAATAAGTTGCGGGAAGCATGTGACCGTAAAATTCTGCTTTCTCCTTGGACGGATGACATGTAGCGCATGGTAATAGGTAAGTAACTCTGGCCCGGCCACACTACGTTTATCCGTGATAATCACGGGATTCCCTAAACCGATGTTACCAGAATGAACCGAGAGAAGAGCGGGCGGATTTCTAGTGCATACCTACCTATGCATAGTGCGGCGAGCCAGCTGATGGTAACGTTACAGGTTCGCCTGGTTGTGTGTGGTGGAGCGCCGGACCGAATTTTCAGTGCCGGGAATGTCCGCCACCCTTCAATCCCACAATCCCACAATCCCACCATCCTGCATTCGCTTGGTAAGGCAATCTACCCCTGCCACTCAGCATCAAAGCAATTGGTCCCATAGCTCAGTTGGTTAGAGCGTCGTACTAATATTATGATTGTATCGTAATGTCAGTAAATGCGAAGGCCGTGAGTTCAAGCCTCACTGGGACCAAGGTTTACTTTTTCCCGCCAGCTTCATTTTTTGTTCCCCCTCTTCTCATAACTGTTTTCCTCCCACTCAGACAGACGGGCACAGACATGCCAGATAGGTATCACACCTCAAACACAAAGTCGCTTTTCCCTTGCGAGTATTATATTCTGGTGGTGATATGGCAAAGACACCAGGAGATGGCTCGGATTCCCGGTACGAGCGGATATGATCGATCGACTGACAAAAGTTGACTCAATAGGTATCTGCTGCAAAGAATATGTCGGGACAATCGGACTTGCATGTCATCTGAATTGCTGAAACTCTTCTGGAATATCAATAACACGCGGCGGCCCCATGGGGTCTAATATCTTCCATGTGGACTCCAAAACCCCGGAACATCCGGACTCCAAGGGAGGGGAGGGGGGAGCGGATCGGTGGTCGGGCGAGCAAGCAGCGCCGCCATGTCGGAAGCTGGACAACAAACACCCCAACCATCTTTTGCATGTCCTGATAACACCATTAGTAACTTGCTATTTTCCTATGTGCTTAAATCGTGGAGGTCGAGAAGGCGTGGCCCTCACTCGATTACTCAAGCAATACAATCGAGCAAGTCGAGGGAGGCAACTACGATGGGATTGAGAGCACCTTCTCCAGGTCCTCTCGAGCTCGGTTTTGCCAGGTGCAAGCCTTGCTTACCCATGTATAGATATCGAATGTGCTTTCCCGACCATGGTTGATCCGTTTCCTCGAGACTCTCCCTTCTGCTATGACAGATTCATAGCGCCCGCTTAGCACTCAGAATTGAAGGGTTGAGGTATTCATTAGCCAAACTTGAAGCACACGCGCTAGGAGTGCTTTTAATCCGACATGGAGCTCAACTTCCCATCAATCCAATCATTTTATTCGAGAGAAGTGCTCGCTGACGGCGGCGATGACTCTGCTCACCTCGTCGAGACCGGCGATGGCTTCACATCCTCCGAAGTACAGGCAGTCGTCAATCCGCTTTCACGACCATTCCGACCTTCGAGACACTATGATGTTTGCCCTATCATAGAAATTCAGACAGGGCCACATGACTACGAAATCACAGGGAGACTGGTCAACTTCTCATCTACTGGGGGTCCTCATAGGATACCTCCAAGTGCCGGGGGCTACTATTTTCTTGTCTTGTGTGATGGTACAGCCGCGATAGCAGTGAGTCGACCACGACCCAGCTTATACCAATCATCGATCGGTATTACCATTTGAGTGTTACTGAAGATTTGTTCAGATAAAGCTGTACTGTAACGCTTCCGAGTATCAGCCCCTGCTAGGCCAGCGAGTAACGGTCTGGGCGACCTCCATATCCGCCGGCAACCAGGCCGAGATCGGGCATATCCCATACTGTTCCGTAGCCTCCACGATCTACCCCGGCCGGAACGGCGCTACGCACATCATCTTCCACCTTGATGCGATCGATTCGGAAGAGCACCGCTCAATGCGCCGCCCACTGGAAATGGATGCCGGAGACTACGATTACCTTCCTGGACTCATGACCATGAAAGCCTTTCTGGCAAGCGGCTATGACCTAACCGAAAAAAAGATCTTAGTCTGCGTGAGAAGCGTTGGGCCTAGACGAACTATTCACCCCAAGACGCGAAAGGGCACATTGGACTTAGTCGAAGTGGGTATCTACGACGACACCGCGCACTGCATGTTGAAGCTCTGGGAAGACAAGATTCCCTCCGCCAAGTCTTGGATCCCCAACCAGACCGTCTTGCTGATATCGCAACCTTCTTACCGCGTCAACGATCATACGGATCGTCAGGGCGCCAGTCATGCGGAGATCGGCATAGGATACAGCTCTATTGTCGACGTAGATCCTAACTTCCCGGAAGCTACGTGGCTCCGTAATAAGATCCAGGACATGGCCAAGAAAGAGAGTCTCATCGTACCCTTTCCCGATGATCTCTGGGACTTGGAAATAGCCATGCATGGGCCCGGTCGGGTCCTGTACACATTGGCCGAACTTGAGGAGAAAGTCCGCAATCAGGAGCCCGCAATCAGCTTCACCGGAAAACTGGGCGTGGTGGTTTCGGAAATTAATCTGATGGATCACTGGCGTAAGAGCACTACCTGCTGCATCGAATGGTAGGTTGTCTTGTCTTTTACTTGACCTATATAGCCCGTTCGCGACTGAATGGTCTCCAGCTGCGGCATACCTCTTTACGCCAACAAACCGATGGCTACATGCAAACAATGCGACAAGCAGTGGGATCTAGCGTTGAATCCCCGCGTGCTGGGTTCATTCCTCGACGAAAGTGGTATGATCACTGGGAGCAAACTTGTGTGGAACGATCGAGCATGGACGCAATTTCTCTTGGAACCCGCGAACGAGGTCCTCTCCACGGCGGGTGGACAGGCGGACGTGTTCGACCCATCGTGGAGGATAATCACAGCATTCGACACCAATTTGCTCCGCGACTTGGAGACACGGCTCCTCTACTCTCGCGTCACCGTGACTTTCGGCTGGTCCGTGGATCTGGGAAGACTCTGCATTCTCGGCGTCGAGTAGTGAGGGTCATGGTAATTATGACCGTTGTGATCTTTACGGACTACTTCTTTGCTTTTGACTCATTCACATTTATACAACAGGACGTCGGTGCTCCGGAATACCCAGTGGATAGGTGAAAAGGGGACAAATACGATCGGATGTAGGGTAGAAACGGCGCATTTGCGAAAAAAGGCACTACTGCGGCCGGCTATGTATTCACAACGCCAGTTTTACCCTTCTAGTGTGCTGGATTTGGTATCTATCGAAATCATCATTGCGGCCGGTCTCATGACCACGAGCCTGCCTCTTCATTATTAAACATTGCAGGAAAGACAGAAATGAATTCCCTCACGCGAGACACACAACACCAGACTTTTCCATACCGGGACTCAAAATCAACAAAAGGAATTCGTGATGTCCAGCCTTGGGGCCATCTTAACCCTCCATCTCCTCATCCTCATCGTCCTCATCATCGGTCTCGATGTCGCTGTCAATGGCGTTACCCATGAAGTAGTCGACGGCGTTCGGGTAAATGTCCTCGGCGAGGGTGACGGCGACCTCGTGGCCGGCGGGGAAGGTCTCGACAGCCTCCTCGGTGAAATCCTCATCATCATCCTCTTCTTCGTCATCCTCAGCGATCTCGTTGCCGGCGAGGGCAGCCTGGCGCTTGGCGAGCATGTCGGCCTTAGCCTCGACGTGCTCGGCGGCACTGATCCAGCGGCCACGGTAAGAAAAGAAATTAAAAAAGCTCAGAGCACCCTCGGTGTTGTCCTTGAGCTTCTGGACCAGGGCCTCGTACTGAGGAAGCTGCTTGGCAGCAGCATCGCGGGCATGGCGTGCGTCATTTGCAAGAACGCCATCGAGCTTCTGCGACGGGTCGGCCTTCTGAGTGTTCCAGAAAGCAAGGGCGGCATCAGTGAGACCACCAGTGACATCCTTCTCGGGGCTCTTCCAGTTAATCTTGATCGGTTCGGAGACAAGACCAGCGGAGCCGTCTTTGCCATATCGGAAGTAGAAGATCTTGGTCAACTCCTTGTCGGAGAACCACTCGTTGTCGGTGAAGCGGAATGTAAACTGGAGAGAGCGAGGCTCGCCAAACTTGTTGAGACCCATGTCGGAGGGCTTGGCGTCGGCAGGGATTTCGGGGCGCGTGACCTCGAGCGAGGTGAGGGCGGCAGAGAAAATCTCGAGATCGACTGGGGTGATAGCAGCCTCGAGCTCGGAGGCAGCGTTATCAAGAGTGACGGCCCAGAAGCCGGGGATCTTGGCAATGGTGTTTTGGCGGGCAGCAAAGATGTCGCGGGACATCAGGTACTGCTTGGCCGTCACTTCGGTGTCGACATCCGAGATGGCGGATTCAAAGAGGTGCAGTTCCTTGATGGTCTGCGGGTCGATGACGACGTCGGCGTCGGTAGAAAACATCTTGAGAAGGATGTGTTGGGTTGTATTTGGGATGAATGAATTGTGTGAGGTGTGTGCGGAACGCAGGATGGTGGACGAAAGAGGTGGGAGGGTATCGTGAGAAGAGAGGAAGAGAGGAGAGATAAGAGATCCGAGTTGTCTGGGGCAGGGACGGAAAAACCTATCTTATAAAAGGGCAGGAACTTCAATTCACCGGGGCAACATGGATATTTTTTTTTCTTGCACCTATTTCATTCACTACGGTATTTGTGCTAAATAGTAATTTAGAAGGCGCTAGGGGGGAAAAGCACGGACCGTTTAAAAAAGTGAAGAAAAAAACGTCTTCAATAGGTACTGATGATAGCCAATCTATGGCGGGGTATTGTGTGGTCCC